TTAATTACTATTAAAAATGGTATGTGGTTTTAGATCATGTGGTGATAGTGACTATAACTAATTTGTGACTATATAGAAGTAAATTAATAAGTTTAAAGTTCGTTTCGGAAAATAAGTTCTTATACAAAGGTGTGACTATATAGGGTGTGACTGTATAGGGGTCTGACTGTATATATAAATTGTATATTAAATATCAACATATTTTAACTAATATATAAAAATAATACATAATATGGTCAATTAATATATTAAGTCATAAAATAAACATCGTTAAACAAATACTAACATTAAAAATTCTATAAGTCATATTCAGTGTAATTCAATTTCTTATTGAATTCCTTATCTATTACATAATAAGTATTTTTAAGTTGAAAAAACTCACACAACGATCTATAATGAATACATTAATAAATTCATGTGCACCATATTTTTTAAATGAAATAAGCCCTATATTATCCTCTATGATATTAACAGCTCAATGAACATATGCTAACATATAAGTCTATTCTTCAAATTCATAGACTATATAATATTCAACTTGACTATAAAAATTTTGTAATATATATTCAAGTATTTTTCAGGAAAATGAAGCCCACTTATCCATTTCCATAATTGTCTATAAATATTATTAAATAAAAAATAAATAAATATACATTGCTAAGTCTTGTATGAATCAGTAACATACCAATATTAAGTAATTAACGTGAGACCAATCATCATTTCGCCTTATCCATTTTGATCCAATTTGATGACCTTCTTTTGTACGTAAATTTCTGTTTTTTATACCTAATGAAGAAAAAGACTACATAATATTATATCAAATATTAGTGAGATAAATGATCGTTTTGTCAATCTATTTATAGGATTCTGTAATCAGATGCATAAAAATTAAAACTTATACTCAATTTTTGACCTCTGACATTGTGAGATACAAAAAAATATTCTTTAATCTTCCTTAACTCTGACTGACTAAGAGTATGTCTTTTTGAAGAAAAATATAACTCCTCTTCAGTATTAAATTGAAAATATACAAGGTGATTTGGATAATGTTTGGATATTTGAGAAGGAAAGATAGTCTCATATGTAACTTGGTAATATTGTAGATGGTTAAACATTTCCTATATATGTACATTATTAATTATATTTTTATAAGGATATAATCATGATCAGACTAAAGGAAGCAACATTCCACAAATCCTCTCTATAGGAAATTGCCATATGACCTAACATGGACCTGTATTTTCTATGCTATCGGCAATATGTAAAAGATAATGAAAGCATAATTTCATTATACTTAATCGTTCCTCTAAATTTCGATAATATTCTCTTAAAATAAAAGTATAAATATAGTCATATACTTTGATTAAGACAATATTAAAAAAATTTGTATAAGTTTAAATTGATAATACCACTTACTTTTCATAATAATCATAAAAGAATTGAAATAGAGACTGAATATCACTAATATTTTTAAGTGTCAATGATAATTTTTGACACAGACGTATGGTTTTAACAAAATTCACCTATCCTTCATAATGTCTTTATGATATTTTACCTTTCAATAGAGGTAATGAATACATAGTAATCCAGGTAGCTCACTCTTCAGCTTTATACCTTTATAATATCACAATATTACAAGGTGGGTGTTTAAGATAGACTGAAAGGCTTTTTGAGTATAATGCATCTCATTACCAATTGTATTTCAAACATTCTAACTGAGAATATAGTCACCAATGTCTTGACTACTATCATTACTAAAAAATTTTCCTGTTCACAATTTAAACATATAACACGCTATGTTCTCATATATAAGATGCATTAGATTAATTGGAAAAGAACTAGGAAAATGAGTCGCTTTAAGATCAAAAAATATACTACAACCTTTTATTCCTATTAATAAAATCATAAATACGTAGTATATATTAAATAAATATAACAAAGTTCAAAAAATATTTGTAATTATACTTACCAAATTCTGTTATCAATTTTTTTCTTTCTTTCTCAGTAATTGATTAGTTTAATTGAAAAATCTGATCCTTAAATTATCCATGGGTTTGTAAGGGTAAATTACTAGGATCATATTTTTGGTATTCATATTCCTTTTCCATAGGTGGCATAGTTAGAAAATACATATGATTCAAGTAAACACTATGAATATTATAAAAATGACATCCTTTGTACGAATTATGGCCAGTTAGATACATAAGTTTTGTTATTCCCAGAGTATCGTCTGATCATGATAAAACATGTGCATGTAATAGAAAATATTCTTTTTTTAATCTATCATAGCAATATATTTCAGCTAAAAGCAATATTAGAATATACATTAATTATATACAAAAAAAAGGAAATGAATACTAAAATTAATAAACATTCTAATTCTTTTAGTTCTTTGGCTATAGAATACATAAATGAATTAAAGCACTTGGGTTCTTTTAGCCCTGGAATAATTGCTGTTATCAGGAGATATTCTTTTTTAATGCGTTCTTCAGGACATATATTAGTGTTGATCATAAGAACTATTTAACAACCTTTCGTCTTTTGTCGAAAAATCTGGTAACCATTAATAGATCCCGTCAATGCAATATCTCTATCATCTTTGAAATATCCATCGGATAATAGTTTTTGGTATCTGACGCTATTAAATATATCGCCGATTTTATCATCTGATCCAAAATCTTGACGATGAGTATAATTTATATGATATTTTAACCTTTCAGAACCTTTTGGGTCTTAATACTGAATCTTAAGATGATCTTTAATGAAAAAAAGGCCATCTGACATCGAGGAAGTCTTTTTTCCATTGAATGTTCAATTTGGAATCTCAACATATGATAATACTCACATAATTCATCATATTTGTATTTTCCTGTATACACACAGCAAGAATTGATACAGATATCCACCTATATAGGTTCTATTGAAACAATTGATTGTAGTGTTCATCTGACTTAAAATAAATAGATATTGCCACTATTAATTACCATCATAGTTTGTCAAAATGCATCATCTGTCAAATTACAATGAGACTTGACCCAGAATAATCTTATAGCATAAGCTAATTCATCAAATAAGTGTATGTGTTCTCCAGATTCTAAATTAATAAAAAATATTTAAATAATATTTTAAACATATTGCTTATTTAATTATTATATTTTATACCTAAAATTTCGATATAAGATATATCTGAGTCAAAAAATTCATCAGTCCCATTTGAAGATGTTCCACCTGAGGATAGTTCATAATCTATATAAGACTCTTCGAAACATTTTCAACTATCGTCAATGTCTTGTATAGTCAATTCTTCATCAATATAACCTTTGTCAATGGATGAGTTTTCTGTCCTGTCAAATAAACTCGAAGATGCTTCTCCTTCAGATCTTTAAATGTATATTCTTATTAGTGAACATCAGAATGTAAATGATGACATTATAATAAAACATATGTAAAAATCATATTATCAAAAAATGATGATCTGGATAGCTCAACAAGGATAGATGATTCACTTCTAGAACTAGTACAAATATCTGAAAAACTTAAGATTGAAGCTATTTCAGAACTGGAATTTGAAATAGAGTCTAAGACTAATGAATTTTCATCATTTTATTTACGATGTCTAGTTCTAGTAGACTTGAAATAAACAATCCAATTTCTCTTTCTTATCTTTGTGACGATATTTCAAACAGGTATAAAAATTTTTATTAGATTTATACATATTAAAAAGTATTAAAATTAAAACTATATTAGAGAATTTAATAAAAATATTAAAAATATAAAAATCATTTTTCTAAAAAAAAAAATTGCTTTAAACATTATTCAATTTAAATAGTTCTGTAGTTAGTCATATGATTAGCATCATTTATTAAGAAAATCATTATGATTGATATAATTAACAATTAAGTTTTAACCGAAAATAGACTTTTTATTTGTAATACAAATTAACTTTAACCAAAAAAGAAATAGTTAAAATAAACTTAAATATTTGTTATTTATAAACTTTTTTTAACCACCTTCCAATTTTTTAATTTTTTTAATTCTTTCTGAATTATCTTTCCAAACTAATTGTTCAAATTATAAACATGGCAAAACGTAGAAAAAGTTTTAGTTCTATTACTTATAAACCTGAAAATTTCACCAAAGAATATAATTCAGTCTTCCAAAAGTCTATCAACGAACATAACTATAACTTCAGCCTTAAAAAATCTAACAATAATAGTGATATACAAACAGGAGTGGACGAAAAAATTTTAGCATCAATTCTAGTTTACGTTACTGCTTTAGAAAATGAAAATAAGACATTAAAAGCTAAAGCAAAAAAGGAAGTATTAGTTTCGAGAAGTAAAATAGAGACTACAAAAATGTTAAAGTCTAATTATAATAAAAGAAAAGGAAAGAGACATCAAGACTCTAGCTTAGAACGGTTAAGTACAAGGGTAAAAAATGAATTGTACAATTGCTTTAAATAAGTCATAACATGATTTGACATTGATAATTTTAATTTTTTAAGGATTGTGAGTCTAATACCATTGATAAAGATCATGATAATTCATCTGTTGCTCTGCCGATCCTGAAACCGTCTGGAAAATTAAGCAAATTTGTGAATTTGCATCTGAAATTAAATTTGAAGAAGAACGTATATGAAAGTTACAAGATAAATATTATCAAAATGTATTATCAAGCTTAACTAACCTTTAATCAAGCTTTCCAATCCAGGCTGCCTTTTATGGACTTATCGAACGCTATACTTCCATTGGAATTCAATATAAAAACCTTGATAAAAATATTAGAGCTGGAATTATTCGCAAGTTTAAGAAAGCTAATCCTCACTTTCCTGATTGTATCAATGATTAGGCCTTAGTATATCTCATGCATCACAAAATAAATATTAATCATAAGTATTATACATAATGATGTTAGTTTTTGGTATATTTTATTTAGTCAACTATATTTTATAGGAGAAAATGCTCATCGTCAAGATAAGAAATGTTATATCGAAAATAAAGTCAATTTTTTAAAGTATATAGATGTCTTATATAAACAAATAGAAAATTAATGTGTATCATCATTATACTTTTGTATTATAGGTTCAGTCAATGGTGAGAAGTGCAGAAGAATGAATCAATTAACTGTCAAAGATGAGAAATGCAAAAGGACAAATTAACTGATTGTAAATGATGAGAAGTGTGAGAGGTTGAATCAACCAATTGTCAATGATGAGAAGCGTGAAAGAAAGTATACTCAAAAAAAGATGACTTCTACTAACTATTATTCTGAAAGTCATGAAGATTCTTATGGTAATGTTGATGATGAACTTGATAAAACATCGAAAGATCATTCACATTACTTATTATCTAATCCTATACCAATTTATTATCATAACACAGATTCAGAAAGTTTTAAAAATAATGTCAAAGAGAATAAAATGACGGATAGTATCTTTTCACAAGGTGTGCTCATTTGTTTCTTAATTGTGTAATGCTAAAGAAAGATATATAAAAGGTGAAAAGCAAATCAATGAGAAATAAAAATTAATTTTTATATATTTCAAAAAAAGGTCAGCGTCCAAAGATTATAATCTATTACTACCTAATTCAGATAACTAAGAATCAAAGCCTCTTAAGAAAATTCGTATTTCTAATTTTGATAAGTTGACATCACAAAAGACAACTAGATTATGCAAAGCTAAATTATCGAAAAGATCATTGAAACAAACTCTTGTATCAGGTGATTTAACATATATTTATAAAAATGTAATTTTCTATTTTATTTAAAAATAAGCTATACCACTATTTGATTTTTATAATTATAGAGAAAGTGAAATAAAACCGCAATAAACTGTGTCTCATAGATCCCTTTAAAATAAGTGTTCAATCAATGATGTTGACAAAACTGGTAAAAGATAATAGGAAAAAATACGATCGCTTGATTTTAAAAATTCTATATTTGCATATTAGCATTGCTGTAATGTTATATAAAACAAATTCGTAAAATGGTTATAATATGTATAACAATTATATAATAATATACATTCACAAATCGAACAAATATTATCCAAATAGAGATACATTCATAATATAAAGTAAACAAATATATGACCATAAATTATTCAAATAGGGCTCATTTTTCCTTATATTTAACATTTATAATATAGTTATAATGTGGTTATAATATGGCTATAATGCGGTTAAAATGTGTTAAACTTCTGTACATTTAATAATAAGTATACATAAATAAAATAGATAATCAAATATTATACATTTTATGAACATGGAATTTTTATTGAGAAGGCATGTTTCTATTATAAAAAGCAAAAAAAAATCAGAAAAATTGACTAAAATTCAACTTAATTTTCGTCCAATTTAATAGTTGAAGGCATATTTCTATTATAAAAAGTAAAAAAATTCACAAAAATTCAACTTAAGTTTTATTTGATTTTGATGGTTAAAGGCATGTTTCTATTATAAAAAGTAAAAATATCAGAAAAATTGACTAAAATTCAACTTAAGTTTCATCTGATTTTGATGGTTAAAGGTATGTTTCTATTATAAAAAGTAAAAAAAATCAGTTTATTTTTGAAAAGTTGACGAAAATACAGCTTTTTCTTCGTCTGATTTTGATAGTTGAAGGCAAAAATTGACTAAAATTCAACTTAAGTCTTTTTGTTCTTGGAACGATTTTTTTTCAGGATTTTAGTGAAATGTAAAAAGAGAAAATTTGGAAATAGTTGAAATTATTTTTTAAAAAGTTAAAAAATTAAGCTTATTTATAAATATTCCTATATATCAGAAATAAACTCAAATAGTATATTAAATCAATATTATTTTAGTAAATCAGTTTAATCTGAAAGTTCAGTTCATTAAAATGATAAAACTATTATCTCTAAGAAATAATAATACTGTTGTTCTTAAGGAACGATAAATGCATTATCCCTAAGGAATGATAATACCATCATTCTTTAGGAATGATAAAACTATTATTCCTAAGGAATGATAAAACAATTGTCTCTAAAGAATGATAATACCATCATCTCTAAGGAATGATAAAACCATCATACTTTAGATACGATAAAATCATTATACCTAAAGAACGATAATACCATCGTTTCTTAGATACAATAAAACAATCATTCCTTAGGTACGATAAAATAATAGTTCCTTAGATACAATAATACCATCATTCCTAAGGAACAATAATACTATCATTCCTTAGGTATGATAAATGTATCGTTCCTTAAGAATGATAAAATCATCATACCTAAGAAATGATAAATGCATCATACCTTAGGAACGATAAAACTATCATTCTTAAGTACAAGAATACTATCGTTCCTTAGGTATGATAAATGCATCATCCTTAAAGAATGATAAATGCATCATCCTTAAAAAACGATAATACCATCATTCCTTAGAAATGATAAAACTATCGTATCTTAGGTACGATAAAATCGTCATACCTAAGGAATGATAAAACTATCATATCTTAAATATGATAAAATTATCATATCTAAGGAATGATAATACCATCATTACTTAGATACGATAACACAGGTTAAAGCAGCTCCATTGTCCAAAATTAAAATTTCGGGTTTTTTTGAAAAATGCTACATTGTATCAGACAAT